AGTACAACACACTGTAAAAATATTATTGAGAAAGCGCAGGTGGGATTTTTTTAATTTTCATTTATTGTCTAAAAGAAATGCACTACGAAATAACTGTGTACTTGGACCTATACATTGATATATGATCATGAAGTACATAAATCATTTCACTAAAAAATCTGCCTTTTTAGATTTTATTTAATTTTTACATCTTAACTTGTTATTTTTATATATAGATCTTATTAAATAAAACCTTTTTTAATGTATTGTTATGCATAAAAGCAAAATCAAATGAAACGTACTTTAATTTAAAATTTTAAAGCTGTGGTAACACTCCATATGGAGGAGCTCCTAATTCAAGGAGGCTTATACTAAGAAGCATTAACATTGGTTTCTTTCCCCCTTATTTATATTCCCCTGGTCAATGGCTGCCAGCATGTTCAAATACGTTCAATCAGAGACATATTATACAAGTATTATCTGTCTCTGGTTCAATCAATGAATATTTATTTCATTTAGTATGATCAATAAAACAATCATTCATATTTTTGGGAATTTATAAGTCTTGAATTTGATCTATTTTACATCTGACCTCGATTTTTCACTTGTCCCATCGGACAAGTATAGTATGGTGAATCTACTTGCCTGACGCCTGTGTCCACTTGTCCCGGACAATCGGACAAACGGTAATGTTGAGCCCTGCATAGGAAGTAGCAGCTTCTCTTGTACTATGAGGTGTAACGATTGTCATATCTATGTCAGCCAAAATTAAAACTTGTTAAATCCACTTAGCAATGGTACCCTTTTTAACAGGTTTATAGGGTTTTTGGAAACTTAAAAACAATTGAGTATTATTAAATCTTAACTTATTTGTGCATTCTAAATATTCATGTAATGTATGAACCACACAAATCCTAAAATCTGGCTTAAATGATTCTATAAATATCTCTGGTAACTGATATCCAGGTCTAGTTTGCTTAAGCAAGTCTCCATATCTTATTTTAACTGAGCATGTATCAAGTTCCAAATTTCTATTATCTATTAAGAAAATACTCTGCATTCTTTGACCTGTTGTCAAAGCTAATAACATGGCCAATTTAAATGTTAAGTTTTTTAATGAAATATCTTTCACTGGTTTCCAAGTCTTTAACAGACTTAACACAATTTCCACATTCCAGGTACAATTATACCTAGGTAAAACCGGTTTTTTGTTAAAATATTCCCTTCATAAATTGTTTAACATGAAAATGTTTTCCAATTTGCACATTAGTAACTAGATACTGCTGATTTAGCAGTATTAACAGCACTATATCCTAGGCCGTTCAGATGGAATTCTAACAAAAATTTTAATACACTATTTACAGATGGATCAAATCGATCCGTTTTTTCTTCGTCACAAAAAAGCAGCCATTTTTTGATATATGTCCCATACTGTTTTTTGGTAGAATCTCTCCATGAATTGATGATGATGTCGGTAGCCTCTGCTGATACTCCTCCCTCACACATTTTATTCTGGAGATCTTGAAAGCCGCCAATCTCATGTTTTTCAAAGGATGAGTTTGATTTGTTTTGGGATTCGTCAGAATCGTTTCCACTTTTGGCAAAATATATGGTTAGTCGCAAATCATTTGTAGTAGCTGAGGAAACCAAGGCTGTGTCGAAAATAAAGATGCTATCACTAATGTGGTTGCTTTTTCCTGACAAATTTTCTGTAACACTGCACTGATCACACTGAAAGGAGGGAATATATAAGCATAAAGTATATTCCAAGTTAAAGAGAATGCATTAACAGCCAAAGCATTCACATCCGGGCCAAATGATACATATTGTTCTAATCTATTGTTATGTTTGATGCAGATAAATCAATGTCACATGGACCAAGTTTATTCATTATACACTCAAAAATACTATCAATAATCATCCGTTCCATATCTGAATTGGACTTGTGTCTGCTTAACGCGTCTGCTTTTATATTTAACTTCCCTGGTATATGAAATACACTAAGCCAAATTTGTCTATGTATACACCACAACCATATCTCTTACCTAAATTATTTAATTCCTTTTTTCTTCCTCCCATTTTATTCAAATACATAATGGCAGTTGTATTATCAAGAAATAATTGTACATGTTCATTACGAGCTCTGTCACAAAAGGCTTTTAATGCAAGAAAAGCCGCTTTCAGTTCCAAAAAATTTATGTGTTTATTATGTTCACTTAAATTCCAAACACCTGATAATGTAAGATTATTTGTTACATCAAGTGCTCCATATCCTAACATACTACTGTCAGATTCAATTTTCCTATCTGGTGGTTTAAAAACAATAGGTTTATAACTATCATGAATGTTTTCAATCCACCAGTTTATACATTGTTTACTCTCATTTGATATATAATCCTAGCATCAAAATTTCCTTTATTCAATTTCAATTCAACATCCTTTTGTATTTCTAAAGTTTTGTAAAAAACTGGTGCATATAAAACACCATGTTCACTGGCAACCAACTTTCCAATTAACTGTGCAAATTCACGTATGGTAACAAAACATTTCCTTAACAAAGTTCTGCATAATTCAACAATATTTGCAACTTTCTTGGGTGCTAGTTTCACTACCATGCTCACGGAATCTATACTGAATCCTAAAAATTCAATGTTTTGAGCAGGCACAACAACTGATTTTTCTTTATGTATAGTAAATCCAAGGCTATCAAACAATTTCATTGTCTCTTGGACATCATTTAGGCATTCTTCATAAGTATCCCCTACCAATAAAATGTCATCAATATACACACAATTAACATATCCTTCTTTCCTTAAAGAAGATAACACAGGTTTTAACAACTTTGTGAAAATACGAGGAGCCGGTGATAAACCATTAGGCATAGCTGTAAACTGATATAACTGACCTTTCCATGTAAATCTCAAAAATTTTCTATCTTCCTTTTTTATTCTAAACTGTAATATGCATCTTTAATATCAAAATTTGCATAGAAATTTTTATTTTTCACTAATTCTAATGCTGACTTGAAAGTTTCCATCTTGAAATGTTTATATTCCAAATGCTTTTTTCTTTTTTGCACTTTTAACCTTCATTTTATTGCCCAATTTCGTACTATCGTCTATTTCTTTCATCCGTTGTTCCAGATTTTCTCTGTCCCCAAATAAATAGTTCGGCGAAATTTTCTCATCTTCGTGGCTCAGAGCTAAATATTTTTTGTCTAAAGCTGGCGTTAGCAACTTCCGCCTTTGACTAGACAAATCTCTATGTGCACACAACAGCAAATTTAGGGAGTCCAGGGATAGTTCAAACATTTCTTCTGATTCTTCCGACGAGCTTTTCAAAGACTTTTCCATCAGCTGGACAACAGGTATCATCCCTTTTACTTGATACCCCTGAGTTCTTTGTAGGGATCTGTCAGCATCTTTGAGATATTAGATGTTTCCTTCGAACTCCACAACACTTTGTTCACCTTAGGAACCTCTAAAAATTCACAGTTCTCTGGTCGAACATATTTGTCCACTAATTCATGTATCTCTTTGTTTTAATGATCAACGGCAGACTCCGCCCCTTGATTTACGATTTTTGCAATCTCCTCATGTACCGGCGATCCTAACTTTTGCTTCTTTGACAAAATGTTCTAAACTTTTTTCATTTTTTCCATTTTTGACATTTTCAACGGAACTTTTTTCATTTTTTCCAGTGGTTCCTCCGGCATATCCTCCTCATCTTCCTGAGAAGATTCATAATCACGTTCTGATTCCTCTTCCGAAACACTATCATAAAATGTATATGGAGATTTGCCCTGTTTATTGTTTGTTGTTATCAACTGCGTCGGCGCAATCAGATCAGCTGTTCTCTGAAGAACCGCGTTTTTTATTTCAATTACCGATTTGGTTAGTTCATTGATAGCTTTTTGTTGCTCCAAGTAAAGCTTTTGGTTGTTTATCAATTGCTCATTGTATTGAGCTAACAAATCGGGTGGCTGTTGATTAACTTCAACACTTGCAGTAAAAGGTACATTGTTAAGCTCCGCCCCCTTTTTGTTTTTCTCAACCGTCGCTCGTTTCAGAACAGAATTTAAACGAATGGACTGTGAAGATGATGGAGCTCCAGTATGAATCAACTGAAGAAAACCATCATCCTTCACCACTATTGCCTGATCTTGGAAAACATTGCAATTTTCCACCACTGGGTCCAAAATAATAAATTCCTCTGCCATTGTTGGAATTTCCTAAACGCACGTGCCCTCTCTATCAACGCAAACACATTTAACAAAGAAAATTGTTTACAAACGTAACTTCATGTCAAATGAATATAATTAATAACATCACTATAGTAAAACTTTCAAACTACGAAAAATTCCTGACTTTCAAACACTAATATATATAAAATTTTGAATTTTTGTCTCCTGAATAAAAAAGTCTAACTTTGCATAACAAAGGATCAACCTCGTTTTGATTTGCATCATGTGATCATCTGTTCACTCATTTGATTTTATAGGTAGATTGGACTTACTAAATTACAATTTTTAAAATACTTTATATAAAAGGATGACTTAATGGAAAAAATTAAGATGACAGAAAATATTTCAATGGTAAATACTATCCTGCTGTTGATTTTGTCCCATTATCAATTTTCTTTTGCGATATTCTTGTGTATTTAGATAGTTAAAATATATTATAAACATAATCAGATGCATCTATTACTGTTTACTTTTTTATTTGTACTGAGATCTGAAAACAACGCACTTTTACCTGTATTTCACTTACCTTATTTTCTTATTGATCATGATATTTACAATTATCTGTGAAATAACTTCTGTTTTTTATGTATTTGAATGTCTTATAAGTTCGTGTAGGTTTTAAAAGAGTTGATGTTTTTATGCTGTGTGCCGATTCTAAATAATGCTTACTATGTTGTAAGTTTGTCCCCTAACAGAGCTGGTATAAACAAAAATTAAAGGTAATTGTTTGAAATAGTCCTTTAGAAATAGCTATAATCTGTCACAGGACTGGACTTACAGATCAGTGAAGTTAACAGTTTGGAATGTTCCTGCTGGAATAGCTGTTAGTTTATTCCCTGCCATGTTTAATATCCTAAAATCTTGCAATGCTATGGTCTTTGCTGCTTTAGGAACATACTTGAAGAAGTTGTAAGCAATATCTCTGTAAAAATAAGCATAAGTGTCCAACTGAAAGGCTTTGAGAATAGTTATCTTTGTATCAGATTCCAACATAAGCATGACAGAAAGAATACAAAGTGCTGCAGCATGATACACCAGTTGCTCAATCAAAGAATAAAGTTCCATAACTCCTCAATGCCAATTCAGAAATTTATAGAAAAAAATAAATAAAGGGAGGTTATAACAATCAACAAGTTTTATGAAAACTGCTCAAAGCACTTTTGAGTTATTGTCCTTAAACTGGTAAATTGCCCCTTTTTTATGAATAAAATCCCATAACTTGGATATGTAAAATCTAAAATTTATTAAAATTGAAAGGGAGTTTTTGTTAATAGATATAAACAATTCAACAATGTTTCACCAAAACTGCACAAAGCATTTTTGAGTTATTGCCCGATAACCGGAAAATTCCCCTTTTTTAATGAAATTACAGAAAACATCATAACTCAGAAACTTAAAAACGAAAATTTGTAAAAATCGAAAAGGACCTCAAGTCAATAGATATAAACCATTCAACAAAGTTTCACAAAAACTGCCACAAAGCATTTTTGAGTACTTAGTACTGAAAAACTAAAAATAATCCTTTTTTTTTTTAAATGAATAAAACTCAATAACTAGAAAAAGTAAAATCTAAAATTCATATAAAAATCAAAAAGGGAGTTCATATGTCAATAGATATAAACAATTCATCTAGTCATATGTCAATAGATATAAACAATTCTTCTAGTCATATGTCAATAGATATAAACAATTCATCTAGTCTTCATGAAAATTGATTAAAGCTTTTTTGAGTTATTGTCTGACATGTTGAAGACAGACAGACGACAGGTTTCCCGTATCACTTATTCAGAAATTATTGCGTACATTTATTATTGAGATTTTTTAAAAAAATAGACAAATTGTATCAGACCAGTTAAAAAAATCCAGATTCAAATATATGTATCGGTTATCAGAATGTGGGAAGGAATAGGATTGATAATTGCAATGTACATGTATACCCTGGTTTTTTTATCAGATTATGATGTGAACGCCTTGATTTCAAAGAGTAACAGGGTATTACAGGGATATTGACAAGCAGCTTGCCTAAAACAAAAATGTAAAATGCAATGCATATTATAAAATACAAAAATACTCATGAACATAACGAATGGAAATTCAGAAATAATAACCTACAACAGCGTGGGACTACTTACAACTCAACTAGACTTGTAAGGCAGTCAAATGCATTATCAGGGACAACATCATCATCCAACAAGTTGTTGCGTAAACTGAAGACAGTCAGAACAGTCAAATTGCAGAATTCTAGTGGGTCTATTGCTGGTATTAGATTTCCTCCTAAATATCTGTAAATAAATCACTATCAATAACATATTTATACTCATGATAAAATCAATGTTGTCAGACTGACACCCAATATAGATGACCTATAAACTTAAAGAATCTTGAAATGGACCTAATCATGAAAAACTTATTATTGTCAAATAAACCATGACCATGACAGTTTGGTTTTAGAAATCATGTAAAAATAGATAAAAATCATAACAGATACCCAAATAATGACTCAGAGGCCAAATTTGGTTTAATATTGGCCCTGTAATTTAATAATGGTGGCCATCTTGAACAGTAAAGCAGTAATAAAGAAGCAACACACCATCAGCACCTCAAAGGGAACATTTATGCCATGTTTGGTTTCATTCCATTCAGTGGTTCTCTAAAAGAAGACATTTGTATGTATTTCCCTTAGGGTCCTATGTCAAACTAAGTCCCTGCTGGCAGCCATCTTGGATGATGGATTGGCTTTAAAGTAACAACACTTTGTGAGCACCTCATAAGGAACATTCATGCCATGTTTGGTTTCATTCCATTCAGTGGTTCTCGAAATGAAGACATTTATATGTATTTCAAATAGGGTCCTATGTTAAACTAAGTCCCCTGCTGGTGGCCATCTTAGATGATGGATCTGTTTCAAAGTAACAACACTTGGTCAACACCTCATAAGGAACATTCATACCATGTTTGGTTTTATTCCATTCAGTGGTTCTCTTAAAGAAGACATTTGTATGTATTTCCCTGAGTGTCCTATGTTAAACTAAGTCCACGCTGGCGGCCATCTTGGATGATGGATGGACTTCAAAGTAACAACACTTGGTCAGTACCTCATAAGGAACATTTATACCATGTTTGGTTACATTCCATTCAGTGGTTCTTTAGAACCTTGTTAGCACTAGTGACCAGTATAGTTTGTAAATGAGTTCATCTTGGGAAACCAGACAAATTTAAACAGTATTCATATTGAGCTGGAAATTCAATGAAAAAATGAAATAATTGCAAATGATATGATTTTGAATATGTATTAATTGCAATAAATGGTATAATTTGAGACTTTAATGCTACTCACAGTATATTTAGATTTCTGAGGGTATACCATGATTTATATGCTAGTTTTTTGTTGGTATAAGCATGCTGCATTGTTAAAGGGAAACCATCCTGTGTGTACTCTGTAGCATTGATGATCCTGTTGTTATCCGCATAACTTAAAAAATATTTATATATATAATATTTCTACATCATATTAATTATGCATAAAACATACAAAAATATCTTTATCAATATCATTAATCTTTGAAAATCTTATTTTTACAAATTCTTAATATTAACTAAGAACACACATTATACACATCAATATCAAAAATCAGTACTGAAGCTCTTTACACACTAATTTTACATCTGTAAGTATGAACAAATGCAGATGTCGGAATAAAAATTACAACTGTAACAGCTGGGATTAGATCCTAGCACAGTAAGCCACAGCTCATACAACTATAAGCAAATAGACTTATCCACTATCATAGCTATCGCTACTAGAGGTGGTTTTATATATTTTATAAGTAAAGGGAAGCTGCAGTGACGGGTCAATTAACCACCAGGGATATGAGAAGTGTTATTGCTTACAAAACTTATTTATTATCTATTTATGCAGCACGTACACCAAATACCATTGACTTATCATAAGTGGTTCCTTTTAAACTAGATAAAACACCACTTTTAACTTGTGAACTATGCAAAAGTTAGTCAATGAACAATGATGGAAGAGTTGGGCCCTATAATGTCTTTGGAAATGAGACTTAAGTTAAAAAATGCTTATATAACTGCATACCAAATATCATTGCCTTTAAACATAAAATGTTTTTTAAAATGTAAACTATGCAAAATAATCCAAGTCAATAGACCATGGCTGAGGACAAGGAGCCATATAATCTCCATGGAAATATCATTGACCTACCACTAATGGTTCCCTTTAAACTGACTTATTCACAAACTAATATATAGATACAAGAAGATGGGATATGAGCGCCAATGAGACAACTCTCAATCCAAGTCGCAATTTGTAAAAGTAAACCATTATAGGTTAAAGTACGTTCTTTAACGAGGAGCCTTGGCTCACACCAACAGAAAGCTATAAATTAAAGCCCCTAAAATGACTAGTGTAAAACCATTCAAACGTGAAAACCAACAGTATAATCTATATAAAAATAAAATGCTTCGCTGAGGGCAGCCTGATACGACAACAGAGTTTGAATCCTGTACAGTTGGGGCAAGTTTGGACACTATATTTGAGCTTTATACTGTCTGAATTGGGATTGTTATCAAGTTTTTGACATAATATAGGTTTCTGACACAAAATAAATGTGTTCAAAGATCATAAAAATCTATTGCGCAATACTGTGCAATTGAATATTTCTTCTTTAAACTTTTAAAAAAATATGGAAGAAAAAAAAATATGAACCCCCCAAAAAATTGGTGAAAAAAATTGGTTAAAAAAATCTTGGCATAATAACCCTTAAACTCAATCCCAGCCTTCCCTTTATGGTATGGAACCTTGTAGTACAATTTTAGATAGATCAATACACTTACACACGAGTTATTGTCCTGAAACTACAAAAATGTTTGTTTTTGGCCCCCTGTTGGCCCCTAATTCCTAAACTTTTGGTACTATAACCCTAAAAATCAATTCCAACCTTCCTTTTGTGGTATTAAACCATTTTGTAAAATTTCATAAGGATCCATACACTTTATATATGGATATATAAGATATGGACTTAACCACGAAAATATAACCTTGTTCACTGATCCATGAAATGAGGTTGAGGTCAAGTAAAAACTGTCTGTAGGGCATGAGGACCTTGCAAGGTATGCACATACCAAATATAGTTATCATATTACTCATAATATGAGAGAAATTAAGAATTCTTTAAATCTTAACTTTTTTTCAAGTAGTCACTGAACCATTAAAATGAGGTCAAGGACAATGGACATATGACAGGCGGAAACTCCATGACATAAGGCAGCTTTATACAAAGTATGAAGGATCCAGGTCTTCTACCTTCTGAAATATTAAGTTTTCGCAAGTTTAGCTATGCAGCCGCCACAGGATCACTATCCATATGTCAAGCTTTCTGTAACAGAAGTCGCAGACTCAACAAAAAAATCAAAGCACCAAGGGCGCTAAAGGCAATTAATTAAAAAACCAAAGGCAAACTTGACAGAAGTAAAGATGAATATTGTCGAAGAATTGGTGAAAATATTTATCTCAGCTATTTTTTCAAGTATCAAATAATGTTGGTACTGTAATGTTTCCGCTATCCAATCCTACCACTTTCAAAAGATATTTCCAATTTATTTTTTAAAGATTCAATGTCTGAGATTATGCACATACACTGTCCCATGTTAGGGGAGAGTTTTGTGCCAGCTAACATGTTTAACCCGACATATTCTGTATGTACATGTCCATAGTGAGGACCCAGTAATTTGGTGATTGTTGATTGTTGCTGTATACACTACAAAAGTCAAAAAGTCTGAAAAGACCAGTTTTTGTCTGAATTTGCATGAATTTTTACTCGACATTCTTAATTTGTCTGAATAATTTTTAAAAATTCTTGACATAGTATGAATTTGTCTTATAAGGTTCTTGATTTTTCTTGACAAGTGTCTTGACAGTATGAACATTGTCTTAAAATTTCTCGACACTTCCTGTATCATCTGATAAGAGACTGGATTAGTCTCGACCAATTCTTGACTGTCTTAAATTTGTCTCGATCTGTCTTGACATATTCTTGACATTCTTAATAATGTCTGAATATGTCTCGACATATTCTTGACATTCTAAATAATGTCTGAATATGTCTCGACACATTCTTGACAGTCTTAAATATGTCTTGACACTATCTCAACAGTATAAATTTCGCCTGAAATGTGAACAGACTTATTCTGCACTGTTTATGACATTCTATTGCTGTTATATACTCCTTTTTATTATGGCTAAACTAAACTTTGAAGAATCAAGGATTAATTTGGTATAGTAAGATACCCTTTTGGTGCAACTATGTTGGAATACCCTGAATAATCCCCCATGTAGTTTAATTTTGAGTTATTTTTATTAAACATTTAAGTAATTGTTTTCACTTGGATTATAAGTCGAAGGTATTGACAAACAGCATTTAGATTTTTGCCGTTCGCAAAACTGCCAGTCAAATTTGCTTTACTAAAATAGGTGTCTTGTATCTCTACATTCATCGTTTGGGTTTGTGTGGCTAAAAAAAGAGGAAGGGGGGGGGGCTTTCATTTAGGTCAAAGAATTTGTTCCCATCTTGATTCAAAAACCTTATTCATTTTTTAAAACAACCCAAAAACATTTTTTATTCAAATTTGAGTGTTGAATTTTATAATTTTTTATCAAAAATAAATATTTGTGATAACTCCTTCCTGAAAAGAAAAAAAGGTTTAGATCTATATTATGCATGTCTGTTTGAGAACCAATTCATAAGACCAATGATTTCTATAGAAATCATTGATGGGACCCATTATAAATACATTTTTTTTATTATTCCTGGAGTAGATAATAATTTTCTTTTAATCTTTGGGAATTATTCAATTTGTTTTTATGTTAAAATAATTAACTTCATAATTTTGATGAAGAAAATCCATTTCAGTTCAATTTTTTTTCATCAAAATGATGATTTTCATTTTCATCTATCAACAAACTTTTTAAATTGTAGTGGCATGGTCGGTCAACTGATAAGTTGTATGGCTGATTACAGGTAAAGCAATAACTTCTTTTTGACAGTTGCGTGTACTCTGGGGTGTGGAATACCTTAATTTTATGGGGAACATCCTGTCCATGTGTAATACATGTACTTAATATATTCCAACAGATGACATTACACAAATTTTTCTTCTGTTAAATGAATGATTTGTATATCATCATAATTTGCTATTTATATAAACCACATTTTGGTATAATAATTATTTACCATATCAACATTGAATATTATGAATGTAGAATGAAATATGTCTACAGTATGATTGGTTTGAATCATTTAATTTATAAGATTTAGGAATCAAAATTTGTAATTATTTAAAAACCCACATTGAAATCGTTTTATATCAACACACCCACATTTGAATTATTTTATACTTTAGATTTCATAGCCATATTTGCATTTGTAAAAATATTTATATACCCAAATTTTCAATTATTTTACATGCCCAACTTTTATTTTTGTTGTAAAGAAGTGTAACTTGAAACAACAGTATATCATATCAAGAGAAATAAAGATTAAAGTTATATCATGAATATTGGTCATGATTTGTAAAACTCAGAACTGTCAAGTAAATTTAAGACACGATTCAAAATGTTCAGAATATGTCAAGCCATACTGAGAAAAAATAAGAATGTCGAGAATATGTCGAGAAATTTCAAGACAGTATTCAAATGTCAAGAATTTATCAAGAAATTTTAAGACCATATTCAGAATGTCGAGAATATGTCGAGTAAATTTCATACAAATTTAATATAAATGAGAATTTGTCAAGAAAAATTAAGACACAAGTCATACTTTTGGAGAATGTCGAGTAAAAGTTCATGCAAATTAAGACAAAAACTGGTCTTTTCAGACTTTTAGACTTTTGTAGTGATAGAAGACTTTTTTGTTAAATAAACTGAATGTGACTTTTTTCCTTTGTAATACTGGTTATTTCAAGCATTCCTGTCAAGTTTTGTCATAATCAGTTCAATAGTTTGAGAAAAATCTAGTATAATGTAAGACGACATCTACAGCGATTCGAGCAAAATTTCTTCGAAAAATCCAAACCAAGCCGCATCATGATAGAATATAGTGTGGACCAATAAATGATCAAATATTTATCTCATCTGCCTACAAACAGTTGAATATGATACAAAAGATGACTTTAGGATGATAAATACTACTAATGGACCTCTTTGTCTTCTTTATAAGGTCTCTTTTGGTCCATTTATACCTCTCATTTCCTCAAAATTTCTACTTTATAGGCCAATAAATAAAAATTTTGGGGTAACTTTCACTCATTTATGATAGAAATGTTATAATAAATAATTAATTGAAGTATTCAAGCTGAATGAACTATCCGTATAAAAGTTTACTGTCTCCAAGGAGGTTTCCATAAGTCCTTACGTAAAACTTAAATTTACGCCGCGTTCCAGAGAGGGACATAAAA